TTTCCCTGCCTACACACACACAGCGAGCTATGCATGGTAGGTCTCTGACACATCATCCCGCCTCACATACACACGCTCCCCCCTCACACATACACTCTCCCCTCCCTGTCTGCATGCACACACAGCGAGCTATGCATGGTAGGTCTCTGACACATCTTTTCCCTTCACACATACACGTCCCCCTCACACATACACCCTTCCCTCCCTGTCTGCATGCACACACAGCAACCTAGACATGGTAGGTCTCTGACACATTATTCCCACCTCACACACACGACCTTCACTCCCTTCCCTCCCTGTCTGCATTAAAACATGACAAGCTAAACATGGTAGGTCACTCACGCTGCTCTCTTCCTTCCCTGCCTGCATACATGCACGCTCTCACCGCGTATCCTAACCCTAAATCAAAACCCTCACCCCTGTCAGTTGTTATTCCTAACTCTAATGCTTACCCTAACCCTCACCCTAACTCTCACCCTAACCCTTACCCAACTATAACCCTAAACTTCACTCACCCTAGCCCTAAAAACTTTCTCTGCACCTCACTCACATGTACAGATACTCTCGCCTCATCACATGTCTGCCCACCTGCTCATCTATTGAAACTGACCCCACCAGCACACTGAAACCAACTTTCCAAATTCTCGTTTCAACTGTTTTTCAAGGCCAGGAGGTAACGTACGTAAATTAAAAGTTATATAGGCCAAGGTGTGCAATTTTTAGCAGACCTGCAGCCTGTTTTACTGGTAAACCGGTCACGCATCAAAGCTTCTTAGGCAGTAGATGGTCCAGCTTAGCACAGGCCAGTGGTATTTTCTGCTCTGAAATCAGTCGAGTGACTTTCTATAAATGCGATGATATATGGCAATAAATGTTCGTGTGGGCAGGTATCTTACCCGTAGGCTTGATACTGATGTGATAAATAAGAAATGCGAAAGAAATAATAAAAATTACAAAGTAAATAAAAAAACCAAAATTCTCAAGAAGATAAGAACAGTAAGAAGGTTATGTAATAAAATTAAATAGTAATAGAATCCCTTTGAGTATGTTTATTGGATTGATGATAATGGTGTAACTTGTCAAGATGGGCTTGACACAGACAATTAAACAATTTGGCGAAACCATTGCTGACGCAGTGTAAATGCATGGATTTATTAAAAAGTAAATGTACTTTGTGACTAATAGAATAATAGTGAGATAAATGATCATGATAGAGTCATTCCATGCCGTATGCCTCTCTGTCACCTTGGCGGTCATCAGCTGCAACAGTGGCTAACATGTGGGTGTTGTCGGTAGTGGAAGACAAGGCAGAGACCCTGCAGAAGGAGCTGATGGTCACGCACAGATGCTGACGGATGTAGAGGAGGACAAGGCAAGACACGCAGCTGGAGTCAGTGCGGTATGCAGTGGGGGGTGGCGACATCTGTTGGCGATTATGTGAGATATATCAGGAGTGTCATATTATAGACTATACAGTCAAACCTCGGTTATCCGAACAAGTCTCAAGATCCCGTGAATTTTAATAAGCACTAGACCACCGGTGACCCGTTGGGTTTATGAAGAACAGAGGTATGAAGAATTTCAAGTTAATTTCAATATTGCACCGAAATGAGTATTATTATGAGATAATTTAATTAAATATTTCAATCCATTCGTGCTATTCATAATTCAAGAAAAGATATTTGATTGTTCACTTTTACATTTGTTAGCGATATGACAGTCATGTATCAATACCATATATGTACATCGTGATGACGTCACATCACAAATAGCAGCCGCGGCTTCGACGCGCCGAGGACGCGGAGCGGGCGCTCGAGCTGGAGCTCGCGCAGACGAAGCTGGCGCTCGTCGAGGCGGAGTGTCGCACGCAGGAGCTGACGCACCGGCTTGGCGCCGCGCACGGCGACCTCGCCGCTGCCAAGAACACCTGGTTCCAGAAGACCCTCAACTCGATCAAGGACGCGGCGGCGACGACGGCGACGGCGCGAGGAGGAGGCGGGGGAGGGAGCGGCGGCGGCGGGGTCGCAGCGTATTTGCGCAAGGATAGCACGTCGTAGAGTGTGGTGGGTGGGGTGGGTGTGTGTCGACCCTCCTAGTGCACCTAGGATGTGCGGGGGCGGGGGGAGGGTGTTGTTTGTTCCTCGGTGTACCTGCGGTGTCCCATTCCCCAGGTGTGGAAGGGGAAGGGGGTTGAATTTCTCCTGGTGCAACTGCTGTGTTTTCCTCCATGTAGTGTGCGGGGGAAGGTGGTTGCTTGTTTTTCAATGTCTCTTTCTCGCGGTGGCCTGTGCATGAAGTGGGAGGGGTTGCTTTTGTGTATGTTTACTGGGCCACACTGCACACCACTGCACACGCATGAGAGAGAGAGTGTTACTATAATGGAGCGTAGCTGACTTTATACAAGATCGGCATTGGCAGGGGTGAGGTCAGGGGTCACACAGGCCCTGCTCCTCTGCCCCGCAGTCTAGCTACGTCTCCTCCCCTAACTGCATAATCAATGGCGTGTCTTGGCCACGTTTCCTA